TAAACTCACTATTTCCCACAAATCCATATGAGCCTCCTTTGGAAAAAGTCTATCTTGCTCTGTGTATGAAAAACTTCATTTGCTGTAGCCTAGCTCTGCCACACCGGGTACCTCACCTCAATATAAAGGGGGTCCTTTTTCTAGCAGGTCTCTTGTGTAATAAGTTGACTTCAAATGCCCTGGTAGTATACAATAAGAATTATAGACCCAACACCTAGAACACATTTTAAACATCTGCTACATAGTGATGTATGTCCATTAAAATACAATTAAAGGATGACGATGGGACTAATATACAAAAATATAATATAAGAAGGATAAAAGTAGGACTGGGTAAAGGTTCAGCAGTCCCAGCACCCACATTGGGTGGCTCACAACCAAATGCAACCCCAGCTCCAGGGATCAAATACCCTCTCCTGCCATCTGCAGGTACCTGCACATATTTGTGCATACTCATACATAGTCACCCACATAGGTCCATAACTGAAAATAATATACACCTTTTAAAAAAGAATAAAAGCGCATTATATAAAATAATATGGCATTATCTTATTTCATTGAGAAAAACTTGGTGATAGAGGTTTATACATGTAAAGGAGTGTGGGGGAGTGTGTGAATGTGTGCACACACTTGCTCTGATAAGCACAGACCATGAAGAAGGATGTCCCAATGCACCGAGAGTCAGGACCGTCTCTCAGACACAAAACCCCATCACCAAGCAAAGCACTTGTTTTTCTGCATCCGTCGAAATAAACCGGTGCCGCTCTGAGCCCCTTTGCCTCACGTTAGTGTTTTCTGTTGTTTCCAAACTTTCTGAAACGAAAATTGTTTGTCTAAATTAAAAACACTTTAACTGTTAAAAAGCCAGAAGGAAATCAAAACACAAGAGACCATTTATAAGTAAACACAGTAAGGCAGTGGAACGCCCACCCAAGTCTGGGCAGAGACGCAGTGCTGAGGCTGGGAGGAAAACTAGCCAAATTCCAGTGCCATAAGGGAGACCTTTGGAAATGCTTAGAAGATTCTTTAAACATCAGCAGGGATTGAGGAGTGAGCTGTTCACTAAAACGCTACTGTGTCTAAGGAGTCTCAGAAACCATCTGACAGGACTTTTCCAAGTTAAGCCTTCGGCACGTGTCAATACTGGACCCAAAGTCTGAGACAAAATGCTAGAAAGGTAGGTGCCTGACTGTGGCATTTAAGGAGCAAGATGAGAAATGTTTCATCCACATAGAAGGTGCAATTCTTTGAATGGTATTTTCTCAGTTGGAGCTTATTAATTAATCAGTTGTAATTATTGGCGCATTAAGCACTTAGGCCTATCCGAGTGTTTGCCCTGTTCCTTATCTGCATTAAGTCTTTCAGTAAACATAGCAGCCAGGAGAGAGGTTTGGGACGGCTCCTATTCTCATTTTTAAGAATAAAGGCATCCAAACTTAAATATGCCAACTACCTGGCTATGGGTTGCCATATTGCTTGGTAGAAACACAGAGACCAGATTATTCTCAGCGCGGGCTGTAGACTAAGGCACTTGGACTCCAACATCAGATCCTCGTGCCTTCAGTCGAAAAGGTCAGGGGGCTTTTTGTTTTGCTGGAAGTATTAGGTCAGAATTTCGGACTTCCCGCATGCTAGACCAATGGTCCGCCACTGAGCTACAGCCCAGCACTGAAATGCCAGGTTCTATTTAAAGAGTACTTTATCAGAATGCAAAGGGCACCCACTATTCATAAAGCCTTATCTGATAATTAGCAATATTTTCCTTGAATAAAACCTTCATCTATTCATTCTTGAGTTACCAAATCATTTAAGAACATTGGTCCCCAGCACTGCTGGGAATAAATGGAATCTAAAATAACTACTCTTACCACAGCATTGAGCAAATAAGTAAAATTAGCATAAAAAGAGACAAAATGAGTGGAGTCTTCGTTATGGAGGGTAAGAGCCACTTCATCTCCAAATTCACAGTCTTGGGATCTCTGCAGTATGTGACAAATTGCAGATAGCAGCTTGGGGGCTTAGTCCCTCAAAGGAGCCAGTTCCTCTTGCCAAGACCCCTTGTCCTTGATGATAGACTTTTGCTTGGTCTATGACAACCACACACACACACACCTACCGTCCTGCTCAGGAATAGGAACAAAACCTCCTTGGGTTCTCAAAGAAACTTCTTTGTAAGAGCTTGGAGTTAGTTCATGATGCAGTCAGTGTCAGGATTCTTCCTACCATTATCAGATGTGAATTTCTCTTTTTAAGCCAGATCCCCACCTTCCCCCTCACCAGCCAGCACTCTTAATTCTGAACCATGTTGTCAAGGGGTCTCTCCAAACTGTCTGGGAGTTTCTAGAACCAGACAGATTTTTATTTTTGGAATGATGAGATACATGATTAGGAGCCGGCAATGTGTTCCGCACACAGTGGTACTCAACAGGTCAGTGAATGAGTTAGTCCATCTTCTTAAGAGCTCTCTTTCTCTTTTGTCTGTGGCGGAAATAAGCCTTAAGGAAGCAAAGATGAGGTTTTGCATAGCTGCATAGTCTCCGTTCGCTTATTTTGTACCCCTGGGAAAATGATGGGTACCACCACATCAGGGAGTTGCACAATGCTCTCTCGAGGACAGTTTTGAATAGTGTTTAAAGTAATCAATGATGTCGCATAAAATTGTTGCCCAAATGAAGAGACCTTGTCCATTGAATCTTTGTAATAGCGGACAATTTTCTTTGTTCATACTTTCACGACCAAAGAACCCATTATCTCAGGAAGTAGTAAAACTTTTCTTAGTAGGTAGGAGAGTTCTAAATTTGTTTCTTAGCAACCAGTTCCTCAAAGGAACGCACGAGGACACAATTTCTGAGTTTTCCATACGCATTTGTATTTAGAAGGACGAGGGGTAGGGGAGCGTGTGCCAGCCTGGGAACAGAAAGGCATCTGTAACTTCTTCCAGTTAGTGGCACACACATTACATTACAGGGCCCATCTGCAAAAGCCAGCCAATAAAAATACAACACTTGCCTGCATAGACAGCAATTATCCCCATTCTTCATCCAGTCAGCAGCTTAGTAATTCGACAATTTTGAGCTCCCTCCCCATGGAAAGTAATAAGGGATTAGGTGGCTTGCCAATATCTTAAAGGATTTTCTAATATAGATACTAGTTGCATTATGCCCAGCCGACAGAAATAATGTTCTGATAAACTAACCCGGGAAAGAAATTTGGGATTATTCTGACATTCAATAGTAGAAACGTTTTACCCATGTAAGAATAACAAAGTTGCTGTCTTCCTGGGTCCTATTTCTTAATTTGGTTTCCCAACATGGCCTTCCAATAGCAACAATAACAGTAACAATGCCAATTAGTATTTAGCAAGTCTTTAGTGTAATAGTCAGCTTTTTGAAACTGTAACCAACATCTGAACTAATGAACTTACAAAGGAAAAAAAATGATATTTTGGCTTTGGGTTGTAGAGGCTTTAGTTCATGGTTGGTTGTTTCATTGCTTTGGGCTCCTGACAACACATTGTAGTAGAAGGCATGGTAGAGGAAAACCACTCCTGTCATGGCCAGGAAGGAAAAGAGAGTTAACGAGGGGATCTTTCCTGGCCTGGGATAGTCCAGATCCAAACTACGGTATCCACTATTTTATGTAACTATTTTACATTTATTATATATTTTAACTCTTACAATAGCTTTTTGAAGTAGCACTGTTATTTGTTTGGTCAATCATTGAGCATTGAATTAGGTTCTTGAAGTTACACTACTATTTAGGAAAATGACAGCTGTCATGGCTGAGGGGAGGCTCAGTTGGTAACAACAGACATCAGGATGCTCATTCTCTTCTCTAGCATTTGTTTAAAAACCAGGCTATGGTCTTGTGTTCCTAAAAGATGTTAGGAGCTCACTGGCCTACCAAAGTAAGTAAAATAGAAGCTTCTAGATCATGAGAGACACCATGTCAAGGGAATAAGTGGGGAAAGATAAGTGGAAGAGAAGCCTTAGAAACCTTCCTCTGGCCTCCACATGTATATACCCAGGCCATGGGGAGGAGCAGAGAGAGGGGAGCAAATACACAAAGGGCAGAGGCTGGAAATGGATTGCTCACATGGTGGCTAATCGGACGTCACCAGATCAGCGTCAATAGTGAGATCTTTGTGAGGGTCTGAGGACCCTTGAATGACATCAATGCTTAGCCTAAGATACGTCCTGGATCCACTTAAGTCTCAGAATGCAGAGAGTCTGTTGGGAGAGGGCCATGGGGATGATGGTTGGCATTGCCCATTAAATCTGCCACCCTAAAAAAGTACTCCTCTGGATACAACCAAGCTGTTTTTCAAAGAATAGACTTGGAAGAACGCTGAAGTGTCTGAAGGGCTGCCATGCTGAACAAATTGCCTGCACACTTGGCAAATCTCTTCTAAGCAGACGTGTAGCTTAATTGTTTTCCTTTTCCATTGCCATCTTAAAGAAACCTGGCATCTACCACAGTCCCCTTTCAGCGGCCCCCACAAATGCTTTCTATTTCTTGGAAAAGAAAACTGTCCACTTATCCCAATAAGCATGAATTGAGAAAAATTATGATTTTTTGGGGGGAGGCCTTTCTTTTAATGGAACAATGTGTCAGAACTGGGCCTTCAAAAACAAGGTAGAATGTCAATATGAACCAGAAACAAAAGACTGCTCGGTCTAAGCTGGTGACTGACTCAACCAGATGCCTCCTAGTCCCTGCTGCAGACTTGGTCCTGGGAGGCAAAGTGAGCATCAGCTTTCAGGGATGCTCAGAAGCTGCAAACTGAGGATGCAAGGAGATAGGCGGTTGACTTAGATGCTTCCTTGGCAGTTCCTGCTTCTTGCTCCCTGCGAACAGCCTCCTGATAAATCAGTTTTCATCTTTAGAGTCCTCCCTGGTTTTCCATCAGTGGTTACACCTTCAAATGCAATGTGGTTTCCCCCCATTTAAATTAGTTACTGTACAATTTCTTAAACGTATTCCTTTTCTCTTTATTCCAGAGGCTACCCTTCAAAGACAGACATTTCACTTGCAGCAAAATGTAAGTACATTTCCTCCCTAAAATAATATCTGCTTCTTAGCTGTCATTCTTGAAACCTCCTCATCTCGAAGACACCTGTCTCCTACCACTGCACTTTTAAAGCCTGGTGCAACTAAAACCGGTCACAGTCGGAGCAAATGTTTCACATGACTGATTTGTGTAACAGCGTTTTAGAAATGGTTTTGGAAGCAAATTGAAGCTGACTGTGGCTATGAGAATATTGCATCTCAAACAATGTAAATAAAAGTGAAGGGGAAGGATATTGGACTCAGTGACATCAAACATCTGAATATTCATCACCCGCCAAGTGACTAGTTTATTTCTCTTTTCCCAGTCAGTTCTCAGGCCCCTTCCTGTTCAACTGCAGGGCAGTTGCCCTACTAATTCCTTCCTGTGTCTGCTACATTGTGGCCACTCTGTCAACCCGTGTTTCTTCTAGAGTGAATCTCCTGTGTATTACATTTTTTTCTCTCTCTGAAACTCTCAGTGTCTATACCAAACTCCAAATCTCTTCTCTTCTGGAAGACCAGATATAATTGCAGTGCGTCTGAGTTTGGAAGGTAGGGATTTCACAGTCTTGCCTTTAGCATGAATATGTGAATACGTATCTCAGTGTGTGTTTATGAAAAGCCAATCTTTCTCTGAAATAATCTAAGATGTAAGTTGAAAAGGCAAAGAATTGATTTAGGTTCAATATGAAGACGGTAGAGTATCTGAAAAACAGTAATGAATTCCCTGTCAGTGAAGATAAACAACCACAGGGTCAGAGGTTGAGCCAGCCATTTGCAGCTCCTGGTTTACACAGAAATTCCAATAAGGGGTGCATCTCCGCAGTCACTGAAGCCTTAACTAGACTTTGTTAACCCATCAGAATTCCAAGGTCTCACTGGAATCCTGCGTACCACGCACGTCCTAATAAATTCCCCTGGGATCATTCGGATTCCTGAGACTGTGTTCAACTGAGCTGCAAGCAGAATTTAGTTCATCCTGTCTTCCCAGGGTGATGCCTTTCTGTCTGCTCTCTCCAGCAAATTGATCCCACTGCTCGCCACCAAATATTCAAGCGTCAGCTTCGCTCTCAGAATCTCTCCCACTCCGTGTCCAAGTGTGGTGCGTTCAGCAGACTGTTTCTAAATGTCAAGCTCCGTGTTCTATGGCTTTGGTCTGGAATGCGTTATCAAGAAACCTGCATGTTAGGAACATGTGAAGTGGCTTTTACCAATAAAGTCATGTTAGATCTTCATGAGCCGGTCTCCCTTTCACGTGTTCTCATGAGCATATTGCTCGTACAGATGTTTGCTTTTGTCAGTTTTCTCTCATTAGAACATGGAGCTCCTTCCAGGAGAAACCGCCTTGCGGTTGTTTTTCTATGTATTCATATTTAAAAGTTCTTTACCACACATCAGTGCTGGCTTACTTCCCCAGTGTTTTAAGTGATTAAATATTAAATCCTAAAATGTAGGATCTCTTTATCAAAATTTCAGCTAATACACCCGTTCCTTGTAGACTGCAGGTCAGAAGGAGGGCACGGAAGTTGCAAATACTGATCATACCCAATACACAGTGACCTAGTCCACTAGGAAGATTTCCAACATGGAAACCGCACTGGAATTTCATTCTATCTAGACAGAAGGGGTCTTCTCAAAGTCCGGGGTCTTCACTGAGTGACTCCAGGGAGTCACAGAAATGCATTAAAACCATTAGACAGGCGCTGGAGAGATTATCAGTGGTTAAGAGCACTGGCTGCCCTTGCAGGTGACCCAGATTTGGTTCCCAGAGCCCACAGGGCAGCTCACAATTATCTCCGGAGCACAAGGGCCAGATACACAACCAACTGATACACAACCATTGGCTGCACCCCCTCCCCCATCAGTAATGTGTACAGAACGCAGAATATCAACTTCACTGGAGGAGGACAGCTTAAACAAATCAGGAAGAAATGCCCCATGGGAAAATAGGGCAGGGCTGTGGAAGGAACCTTCTGGGTGAAAAAATCAGAGTTCTCACAGCTAAATCCATTTCGCTCTCTCTGACATGACATGATTCTGAAAACGTTACCACTCTTACCTTCTAAGTTCTTTTATTATGGGATATCTGTTAGTATCCAGGCACACTTTGGCCCTGCCCCCTGGGCACAGTCACCACTTGGCTTATGGCAAGCAGTTTCACTGTTCACAGAGCAAAGGGCCCTTTAGGAGACAAGCTCCACCCACTCCTGATCTGTCTCTTCTCACCCAGGCCAGCTGGTTTTGACCTCTCCTCTTCTGTCCTTCTCTCTGTGTGTCTCTGTCTCTGTCTCTCTGTCTCTCTCTGTCTCTCTCTGTCTCTCTCTGTCTCTCTCTCTCTCTTTCTCTGTCCTCTCTCATTCTCTCTCCCTCCCTTTTAATAAAACTTCATACTCAAGCCCTCTCTTGTGTAGCGTACTTTGTCACTGGCCTTGGTTTGGGCCCGACTGCTATGGGACTCCGCAAAGGTCCCTTTGTATCTAACAATATCAAAGACTGTTTTGCTGACTGTTTCAAAGGTTGCTATGCTGATCGCCTAAGATTACATTGGTGAGGGCGCCTAAAAGTACATTGGATGTGGGAAGGATTTGAAAGAGGTTTTTGCTTGTTTGTTTGCTTGGTTCGGTTTGGTTTGGTTTCACGATTCGGGTTTTCTGAGGGTCCCTGACATTCGGGTAACAAACCTTGGGGCCTTTGGGCCTTAAAGTCAACACTATACAGCCATAGAAACCAGAATCCTACTGAGCCGAAGCCATCTCCTTCAGCCTTGGCCCCACTGTTGCTGGACCTGACTACCCACCATCTTTGGGACCACTGCCTCTGATGGAGCATTGTCTTCTCTCTGGGTGGTACGGGTGAGAGAAGTTGCCAAGCAAACCTGAACTATCCAGAGGCCTGTAAAATGCGCAATTGCTTTTTAAGAGGCATGGCGATATTGTGTGTTCCTTTTGGATTTCTTGGCAGTCTGGATTTTCTGCTATTTGTGGTTTTGCAATTTCTCTCTTCACAGACAACACCCTGGCTCTCGTTCAATGCCCAACTGGTGGGGCTGAGGTGATGGGGGAGGGGCTGGAGTCCCCAGAGCTCTGTCTGCTCCAGGGTTTAAAAGAAGGAAATGTTAATGAAAAAGTCAGAAAGAATGTTTGAGATGGTGGAAGTCGGTGGGTTCAGGGGGAAGAAGCAACTTTTAATAAATTGTGGGCCTAGAGTTTGATCTGGGGACTTTTATCGATTAAACGAAGATTTTTTTTTCTCTAAAATCCTCTTGAAGTTTGTCTGGGGTACAGTGTCAGTCTCTCCTTCTCCTCCTCCTCCCTCTCCTCCTCTTTCTTGTTGTATTCACCAAGCTCAGAGAAGTTTTACCCACATCCCACCCCTACAGGCTCCGGCTGGCCTCTTCTTCGGATAATTCTGTGTGTACCTGCTTGTTGACTACTTGTTTCCTGTGAACCAGCTCACACAGGCTGGAATCTGTTGCCTTGGTTGTGTGCTGATGGCCTTTGCTTCTCCTTCCTAATGGCGGTAGTGGTCTTTGCAAGTCCATGGCGTCAAGCAGTAAGCAATGGGCATTTATCTACGCTGCATGGCTTATTCTGTCTCCACTCACTGCTTCTGCAGAGGCTTGGCTGCCTTCAGCTACTTCTGGAGTTTCTAGCTGTGAAGCTGAACAATCCGAAGTGGCATCCTGGTCACCTTGTATTCCTTCTGTTCATTTCTTTATATCCACTCAGTCCCCAGGTCTCCATATAGTGGATTCCCATTGCTCAAAGCAGAGATTGAAGACTCCAGGCCATCTTTTTCTACCCTGGTATTATTCCTTTAAAAACGGTGGCGGCGTGGGTGTGTGGACAAACACAAGATAGACGAGACGCGCACGTAAAGGAGAGACGAGACACGCGGCTCCCACGTGGGTGCACTTTAATGGGGAGAGGGGAACACAATAAGGGGTGGGACGTGCGAGACACACAAGGGTAGGGGGAGAAAAAGGCCAAGAGAGGGGCGAAACCTCGTGGACGCTCGCTTTTAACGGGGGGCGCAAGGTTATCTGGGAGGAATGACCCTCACCTGGGTTCGGCCAGCGCGCACACAGGTGACGGTAATCCAGGAGAAGTCTGGGAGCTGTAGTTTCCAAGGAATAACACCTGGTCATGACCGAAGTGCCATGGTTTCTTACATTTGTAAGAAAGTTAAAGTAATTGCTATTTATAGGTCAAGTACTACCCCTGAGTTCTGTCTTGGAGAAAATATGATCTAAACGTGTGTGTATTCCCAAGGGTTAGCAAATTGTTCTTCTTATGGACTAATTGCAGGGTTTTAATTTGAGAAGACACATTGCATGTCTTCAGGCACCAACCTAAGAGATCACAACACCCCCTTCCTTTCCTCTCACGTGCTATCCTGGTCCTCCTTCTCAACAGCTGACCCACTTGTCTCTTGCTAACGTGAGATGGCTTCCCTATAACTCCAGCCATTGGGCTGTCTTCGCTGTCTCAGATGTACTTAGAAGAAGCCACTCTTCCCAATCACGACCCTGCAAATATTTTGGAATCTAATCTCCGGTACTCTCAGAGTCTCCCATGTCCAGACTTCTACTTCCCCAATTCTTCTAGCCATCCTTCAAAGGACTGGGTTAGCTAGCCTTTACAGTTTGTCCAGGTTCCCTTCTCAATGTCTGTGCTAAAATGTTACAGCCTGAAATAAAAAAGATACTGTTGAGAAGCCAGGCCTTAGAGAGTTCCAGGAAAACAAAAGGAAATGACGCTTTCATCCCAGGTGCAGGATTTCTATCAGTTTAGCATGGAGTATATTCAAAAATTTAACAGCATTTTGGCCCCCAGGTTAACCCAGAGGCCTTGGAAGGACACATCTAAGCTGCCCCAGCTTTGCCTACACTTCTGAACATGATGTTCCATAGCGTGAGACCTTTACCTGGATCCCTGGGACACAATCTCGGTCTGAGACTATTCCTAAGGAGCGATAGGGGCTTTGATTTTT